CCTTTAGGACCAGTATGGGTTGCTGAAGACCACCTCCTAACCCGGATCTTCTAGGGTTCTATAGTTAATGTTGGTTGCAATCCGATCCCCGTTAGGTCGCCTCTTAGGACAAGTATGGGTTAAGCTGAAGACCAATTCTAACCCGTATCTCTAGGTTCTATAGTTAATGAAAATGCCGGATCTGGATTAATATCAATATTTTACATTTGGTTATAAATATTATCTGCAAATGTTACGATTTTTTCTGTGGGGAATTGACTGAATCCATTTATGAAACTTTGGAAATGCATTTCGTCAAGTTACTTGCACTTCAAGTTGTTTGTTTAGTGCCGACAGTTTTGATACAACTGTCCCAGCACACCAAAGGGTTATGTCCTGAGAATGACCATCAATCTGTTAAGTCGCCACTTTACAAACCAGCATAGGTTGTTGGGACCTGTTCATGGTGTGGTAGAACTGAATGCTCGTGCTAAAGTGTGACACAGCGTGTTTATAGTACAATACATCAATCTGAAGCACCAAAGACAAATTAACTACTATACAGTGTATGTAAGAGAAAGTCTACTCTTTGAAAACTCTATTTGACCTAAACATAATAATGTATTTAAAACTTCGACTATGAGGTGATATAACCTCGGAAAAGACTATGAATTTAATCGATGTAACAGCCTAGTGTTTCAGGCGTCCGAAGACCCGGTTCGATTCCCCACATGGGTACAATGTGTGGAAGCTTATTTCGGTGTCCCCCCGCCGTGATATTGTTGTTGAAATATTGCCAAAACGGCGTAAAACCATACTCACTCACCTGGCATCACCATCAAATCACCATGTCTTGTTTCAGTTTTCCTACTATCACACATGAGTGTATTCTTTCCTTTATGGGCGGTAGAGTAGCCCAGCGGTTAAAAGCGTTCGCTTGTCACGCCGAAGGTCCTGGTTCGGCTCCCCCCATATGGATACTGTGCGTAGCCCATCTCTGGTGTCCCCCGCCGTTTTATTGCTGGAATATTGCTAAATGCGGCGTAAAACTAAACTCACTCATCCTTTCCTTTCTCCCAGTAATTTAGCTTAGCAGATGTCAGCCGTCACAATGTCTTGTCGTCCGACCCCGCGACACGTAATAGCTTGTCACAGCTGGGTCACATGCAGTAAATGTCGCGAAAGGTTATCAATTCCTGGCAACAGGTGGTTTGTATTTGGTAGACAGCTGATCGTCCTTGCTGGTACCGGGAATTACAGGCCTGTATATACCGTCATCCCCATCAAAATGACATTGTTGGCATGGAAATAGATCGATTGTTATTGATTAGTATTCGTCGTTTTAACCTCATATTACTTGGTCGTGATAGCAGCACTGCTAAAGTAATGTATAAACATTCATAGCCTGCATAAACATGAATTACGCAATTTTCCGATTTCAAGGTGAGGTGAGGTGAGGTGAGGTGGAGGTGAAATTGGGTTTAACGTCGTGCTTGAGAATATTTCGCTCATATGACGACGTGCATGCGTGTGTATGTGTATGTGCGGCTGCTTGTACTCAGCCCAGACTTAAGCTGGTTTTATAGTGCTAGCCCACTGGAGATACCATGCCGCAGTGAAGCATGAATACCCCACCTCGTATCACATTATACTGACCCGAGCCGACCAGTCCTTGTTGTACCCATTAATGCCGAGCGCCAGGCAGGACCAACAAGTACCATATTTTAACGTCTTTGGTATGACGCGGTCGGGGATCGAACTCCGCGACCTTCCGCTCTCCGGGCGGATCGCTCTAACCACTACACCACGGAGGCGGTCTCCGATTTCAAAACTAAATGTCAGTGATATATTTTCCGTTTTGTTCTGGCTGAATTGTTTCATTGTTGGCTATTTAATGCCACACTCTGTCATGTTCCAGAGATATATAATTAATCGATATAGGCGAGTGTGGACCAGAAAACCAGTGGTCGATATCATGATCAACGATGACCCTCGCCGGGTTACGATGGCACGTGTTCAACCAATGTACCACATAAGTGAGTTGGGTTTAACGCCGTCTTAAACTTGACAACGGATATTTCACTGCTTTGTAGATCTGTTTACACCCCGGTCTCTTTAAACTCATGTCATATTATATTTTGAAGTCTCTTTACTTCTAAACTTGACAGTGATAACCTGGCAACAAATGGATACCCGGTCTCGAAAGGCAAGGGAATGAGAACACAAAAATAAAAACATTGCTATAACATTTCGGAGTTAGACCTGATTTTACGCCGCATTTAGCAATATCTCAGCAATATCTCGACAAGGACAGCAAGAAGGAGTTTCACGCATTGTTCTGTTCCCTTTGAAAGGAATCGAACTCAGCGTTCCGGTGCGTCGGTCGAACGATTTAAGCATCGGGCTGACCCATGGCCAACATTTATAACAAGACAGATATTTGTATTCCAAAGGGTGATACTTTTGCTGGGGTAGACTCTATGCCCTATTAACACGCTTTCTTGTCGGCCATAAGCAATAATAATTATTCATATCTGTACACACCATCATCATTTGTAGTGGATCGTGGTAGATAGAAAAAGAAATTTCATTCCTAAATTTTAAGAACATGAATATTTGCTACTACCGCCAAGATCTACACCGAGGCGGCTCCACCAGACTCGCGCCCCAAGCTTTCACGCGTGTTTTGTCGCATGCTTTTAGCACAGTTTATTGCACTTATTCAAAAAAAATTCAATATGATTAACAATGGATGTTTGGGGTCAGCTGCCCGGATACGCTGGAATGTGGGCACGTCAGAAAACCCATAACAGTAGATCCTGGTTTCTATGTTTTTCAGGGCCATAACCTTGTTCTTGTGTTTCATAAAGCTCTGAGGTCTGCATCAATTGGGGCGTTCCCCGCCGATAAGCTGACAAAGGTAAATGGCGTTAAACCCAACTTACCCATTTAAGCCAGGTGAGAAAGAGTTTAGTTTTTACGCTGCTTGTAGCAATATTCCCAGCAATATCATGGCGGGGACACCAGAAATGGGGCTTCACACATTGTACCCATGTGGGGAATCGGAACCATGATCTTCGGCGTGACGGGCGAACGCTTTTAACCACTAGGCTACCCCACCTCCCTTTGTGTAGACGAAGCCCAGCCTAGACATGCTTAAAGCTTCCTCCACAACAACTGCAGAAAAGATAAATGCCCTTGAATTATTTTGCGAGGAAATTACTACACCTGTGCGAGGAAACAGGAATGAAAGTAAACCTTAAGAAAACAAAAGTGGTTGTTTTCAGAAATTGTGGGCCTCTTAGATCTTATGAAAAGTGGTATTTTAATGGGGAACAAATAGAAACAGTATATTTTTATAAATATCTTGGCATCATATTTACACCAAAACTTGTTTGGTACAGGGCACAATTATGTTTAGCTTCTCAAGCTAGAAAGGCAATTTTATCAGTTAATCACTTTCAAAGGAAATTTGGAAACATTAACTGTACAGATCTATTCAAAAATTTGATGCACTGATCACACCAATATTATGCTATGGATCAGAAATATGGGGAACTTCCTATTGTAAAAGTATTGAATCGGTACAGCTTGATTTTTGTAGAAAGTATCTGAAAATAAATAGGTCATCTTGTAATTCCATGGCCCTAGGTGAATGTGGCAGATTGCCCCCTGCAGCTTAATTATATGACCCGTGTAATCAAATATTGGTGTAGATTGTTACAACTTCCTCATGACAGATTACCTTTTCAAAGCTACCTTATGCTCAAGTCTTTAGATAATGGTGGTAGAACTACATGGGCATCAAAGTTAAAAAAATCTTCTGTTTAATTTTGGTTTTGGATATGTTTTGGTTGAGCCAAGATGTTGGTGATGTAAAGATGTTTATAAGCTTATTTAAACAAAGATTATCAGATAATTTAAAACAGTCCTGGTACTCTTCCCTGAGTAATATTCTTCCAAATGCAACTATTATCAGTATTTTAAATCAGCGTTAAATGTTGAATGTTATTTTATCGCTTAACCTTTCTACACATTTAAGAGCTGTTTCAGCAAAATTTAGGTGTAGTAATTTTAAAATAGCTGTAGAAACCGGGCGTTATAACAACACTGATTATAATCAAAGATTTTGTATATCATGCAAATCTAAAGGTCTTACCTATATTGAAGATGAATTCCATGTACTGTTCATTTGTGAATCCTATTCACACCTAACAGAGAGGTTTATTACAAATGTGTTAAAAAGCCTTATACTGTATATTCTTTAGCAAATCTTTCAAGAATACAAAACTACCTTGTATCTGTTTTATGTTAAAAGGATTATTATAAACACACATGAAAGCACATTGTGCCCCTGGCTACACTGAAATTTCCTTTGAATGTATTTTGGGCCTATGGCCTTTTTACTGCAAAATAAACTCTGTCTGTCTCTGTCTGTCATTTAAGCCAAAGAGGAGTGAGTTTAGTTTTCATCGCTTGTAGCAATATTCCAGCAATATCACGGCGGGAGACACCAGAAATGGGCTTCACATTGTACCCATGTTGAGGGGAATCGAACCTGGTCTTCGGCGTGACGAACGGACTCTTTAACCACCAGGCACTTGTTTTAGTCAAAACTCATTTTTACAGGTCAGCTGGTGGATAAGAACCGAATATTATTACGGGGTACGGGCTCGAGAGTAGTATGGCGTCAAGGTTGAATTAGATCCGTGCAACACTAATAAGGTTAAATAGAGATTTCATTACTAAGCGCCAACCTGTTCGAGCCAGAGAACCTTACATACGGAAGTAGTGACCCCATGAGTCAGCGTGACGTCAAGAGATGCCGCATTATGTGGCTGGATGTGTGCACGTCAGTGAATGAGTGTAGTTTGATACTACATGTATAACATTTCAGGAACCCAGCATTGGAATCGAACAAGGACGAGAGACCGCTTGAAACACCTGACTACCCGATCTACCATTATGTAGTTTCTATGTTTGTCCTATTTGTAACAACCGTCTGGGTTTTTTTTCATTAGGAGCAGAAGACAAGTCAGAGGAGATTCATGGACAGGTTCAAGATATGATCGACAGGTAAGATATTCATATATTATTTTCCTTTTCAACCGTTATATACAGTGTATGAAATAGCGTCTGTCCGGCGGCCCGTTGCTTGCTGGTTACATGGCGGGCTTACAACGTGAACTTTATTTAATAGCACAGAGCCCTCTTACCGCTACGACCTCGTAAAGCAGGTCGTAGAACACCTCTTACTTTTTTACCCTGTTTCACAAAGACCTCGTATATTTACACTGTGTCGTAAACAGCCCAAAATTTAGGACCCCGATTGACCTGTCGTAAATGCTTTACGAGGTCGTAAACACTACAAAGATGGCGTCAGCGATTATGGCACTGCAAGTGATTAAAACGCGCAAACAAAGAAGACCTGAGAAATTTTGAGACAGGTCGAACGTGCTCGGCACTCGTGTTGTTTTCATTAGAGCCCCAAATGAACAAACCTACGCTATTCCGACCTCCTGCAAGCAGTGTTGTGTACACAGAGGTATTTGGCAAATGAGGTTTTCCTCTCAGTGAAATCGGGGATCTCCATGGAGTATCCCGAGCTAGTGTGTCAAGAATACTCCGCGACACCGCTAGTGCTCTGGCCGTGTATCTGGACTTGATTAAAAACCCTGGGTGCCACAGGGACATATGTCCTTCCTCTTCAACCCTCACTTTGAAGTCCAATAAAATTGTAAATATATCACGCACACAAATATACTTCACAGTTTTGTATTCTGCGGGAAATTCACTGTTTCTTGATACCATCCACTAAAAGACAAAGCTAAAGTGCTTAAATAACCTTTCAAAATAGGCTTCATCGTAAATGTCGCCATTTTATACACAATACGAAATCACGATTCACAGCATTATTTGCTGTACAGTGTAGACAGTATGTTTTCAAATGTGAAAATCGGATAATTACTGGGAGTACTGAATTTCAAAAATAACATATTAATGATAACTGAAATCAGTTTTTCATGATATCACTAATGATAATCTGAAACGCTGCCGATGAACCTAGAATCGGTTTGGATGTTTTCGAAAATATACTTACACGAACGCCGAAGTGCGCTTTCCGCCATATTGGATAGTGTTTAGAAAATCACGTCTCGCAAAGGCCGGTATTGAGACGCCTATTACATCACGTATATTTCATAGTCAGCTGCAACAAATGCATCGCTGAATTCCCCATAAATTTTGAAATGAAATCACAGTTGGTCTTTGTTACCAATAACAAATGCTACTGTAGTTTGAAATGTAAACAAAGAAAAAATCCGATTTATACTGCGTAGCAGCCGGCTATTCATTGCTTGCAATGGCTCAATACCTTTAGAATATGTATGGAAAGAGTATCATAGCAAGAAAGAGGAAATTTAAAACAGATACAATGCAATGATTTGATACTTCATAAGAAATTGTCAACGTTTCCGTGCAGCGTGACGCCATAACAGACGCAAAATCACACAGAACGACAACGGTAATTATCAGCATTTCTGGCTTCTTCTCTTACTTACAAAGAAAACATATAACAATACACAGATAGTCAGAGTCACTCTGATTACTTACATTTCATATGTACAAACGATCCCTGAAGCAAGGGAAGAGTCCTCGCAAAATCCTGTGTACCCTTGTCAGCGAAGCCGCCATTTTGTAAGAAATCGGTCATCGGTTGTGATGTCACACGTCAATGTAACATTGTGGAAGTACTACATATTAGGCAATATCTTTGAGGTGAAGGTCGGATGAAAAAAAAGTAAACACGATCGTCCTAACCTTCTGACCCCTTTCAGTACTATGATGTATATTTTGCGTATCATTCAGATATTCTTTTTCATGCAACTAAATTTAGGAGGCTTTGTGAAACGCGGGCCAGCCCCGTAGGCCAATACATATTCCAAGGGTATATATTTAACCATGTCATTGACTACGGGAATAATTTCGAAAATACTTTACAATTGTGGTAGCTAGACGACGTCTGTATAGTTCATGATCAATCAAACCAATAACTTTCACAGATCAGCCTACCCATTTATCTAACACTAAATGTGATTGGTCTAGAGATTGCTTTCAGCCAATGAACAATGTTGTTCTTTTCTAATAGCATGTAACAATCACACATCTTCGAACATGTATTTATTCATTAATTATATTTATTTTAACACCTATCTCAGTTTCTTATTTTTTATACAGGGCTGGTTACCTGTTAACGGGGCCAGCAACATTTTTCAGTTATCAGCCCTGTGGGCTTACTGTGGTTGTTGGGAGTTTCACAGACTGTCATATGGACATATTGCTGAGAGTTTATTCATTAGTTCATTGATGCTCTATATTTAGATAAAATATAAGTGCACCGGGTGACCAACAACACCATTTCTATAGGTAAATGTCTCCAATCAACCGTTGTTTGTGTAATATAAATTTAAATGACATCAAGCAACTGGTTGTTCTTTAAGGAATACAATCGATGAGCTGTTTACCTGTTTTTGTCAATTACCAAATTGATCATAAAGCCTCGAGATTACCCAAGTGAGATATGCAACAGTGTCAATATCACTGTCTGCCGCCTGAACGTCATCAGTTTAGGACAACGTCAACAAACAGTTAATCACTGCAGCATATGCAGAGGCGGATCCAGGAATTGTCAAAGGGGCGGGGGTTGGGGGATGGGGTGTTCAGGGTTCAAACCCACTGAACCCCTCCTCGGCTCCGCCAATGCAAAAACATTTACTTCAATGGGGTCTTAAGTCATTTTCAAAAGGGGGATGGGATTCGAACCCACTGAACCCCCCTCTGGATCCGCCAATGATGTGGCAGCCAAACACACCACTACAACACTATGTAAATCATATCATACACCGCATCAATAACTTACACGCACACCTACAGGACTATTCTGAATTGGAATTTTGTTGGCCGTATGTATATCAAAATCATATACTTCGCAGTCCGAAGCGAAACAAAATATAAACTACATCACCTAACAAATTTGACTTGGTTTGATTCCACGGGGACAGATGTGACTTGTCTGAATATTTAATTTGTTCATTTGGCAAACATAAAATTAATCGATTGAAACGTTGAGGATCTTCAAGATATCAAAATATTCCAGAAATGTTTTGTGCGAAACGTTCAGCAAATAACAACCCAAAGTGTAGTAGAGACCCAACTTCAGATGATTTTAATATTGTTTCAAGCGCCGTAAAATCCCCTAGATAACTTCCTATCCTTGTTTCAGTCTGAGCTCGGCCGCGAGACGAGCGAGTGACGGTGACGCCAGTGACGTCAAGCGTGACGGACAGCTTCTGGGTTTCGGAGGCCGGTGTGGTTGGTACAACGACAAGTGTTCCGCTTGGACCACCCACTGCTGTGATCCTTGGAAGTGCAAGTACCAGAAATGGACCCATCGCTTCTCCAAGACTGGGGGTCGCTGCCTCTAGACGCTGAGGTCGATTAATAAAGCACCGTATAATGAGTACAACAGTGTCTGTTATAACTGAAATATTACTCAGTAAGAATTTATTTACGGTTCGTCCGTATCATTTTCATAGTTTAGCCAGCACAAAGTAGTACAAGTTTCTGATCTGAGCTATTCTATCCGTGAAGGTCCGGGTTAGAATGAACCTTCAGTAACCCATGCTTGTCGAAAGAGGCGACTAACGGGACCGGGTGGTCAGGCTCGCTCACTTGGTTGACACATGTCATCGGTTCCCAATTGCGCAGATCGATGCTCATGTTTTTGATCACTGGATTGTCTGGTTCAGACTCGATTTTGTACAGACCGCCACCATATAGCTGGAATATTGCTGAGTGCGGCGTAAAACTAAACTCACTCACTCTGAGCTATTCTGAACTGAGTGGAGATGAGAAGCCGTGGTGTGAATGAAGTGATGTGAATCCAGCCACACACTCGCTGACTCACTCATTCACTCACTCACTCACTCGACGAAGAGGAGAGCAAATCCTGGAATCGCCCTGATTATGATACCTGGTCTGTAACCACTATACCTGTGAGTCACAACAGGCTTACACACTCCTCATATAACCTAAATGATAGTCAAAGTGGAGTCAAACATGCCCCCACTCACTCTTGGTGTAGTTGCCAAACACAGAATGAGGTTCGATTCCCTCCAGGGTAAAAGAAGGAACCATTGCAGATTATCACAGAGTTTTCTGTAGAGAGTAGCTGGATCTGACAACACAATACCAGCCATCAAGGAAGTTCGAAACTCGTGAATCTTTCAACGTGGATTCCACGACGGCTTGGAAGCTAAAATTGCCACAACACAAATTGAGGTTTTTAATTTCCTCATTGTGAAACCATCCTTGGTGTATATGCATTTATATATGTAACAAGTTGGCTCATAGCCATTTCCGTGTGACAAATACACGGCATAGAAGATGTATGGAAAACTAGAAGGTATGTCTTAACTAAACGAACACAATACAGATATATAGAACATGTATATACTAACACAGAAGCAGAACGAAATGCAGCCATTGACACTAACTCAGATACAGGGGAAGATGTACACCAGCCCAAAAAACCAGCTTCCATGTATGAAAGGAACACAGTTAGGAACACAGTTACAGGGAAGAACAATGTACACATGGAGGATCCAAAAAACAGCCATGGATTTGTATGAACATGGATAACAACAATACAGTTACTGGACAACATGGATAACAACAATACAGTTACAGGGGGAACATGGATAACAACAATACAGTTACTGGACAACATGGATAACAACAATACAGTTACTGGGGAACATGGATAACAACAATACAGTTACTGGGTGAACATGGACTAACAACAATATTAGTTACTGGGGAACATGGATAACAACAATACAGTTAACAATACAGGGGAACATGGATAACAACAATACAGTTACTGGGGAACATGGATAACAACAATACAGTTACGGGGGAACATGGATAACAACAATACAGTTACTGGGCAACATGGACTAACAACAATACAGTTACTGGGGAACATGGATAACAACAATACAGTTACTGGGGAAACATGGATAACAACAATACAGTTACTTGGCAACATGGATAACAACAATACATATAACAGTTACGGGGGAACATGGATAACAACAATACAGTTACGGGGGAACATGGATAACAACAATACTGTTACTGTTAAACATGAGCAACAACAATACAGTTACGGGGGAACATGGATAGTAACAATACAGTTACGGGGGAACATGGATAGCAACAATACAGTTACTGGGCAACATTGATAACAACAAAACAGTTACGGGGGAACGTGGATAACAACAATACAGTTACGGGTGAACGTGGATAACAAGATAGTTACGGGGGAACATGGATAACATGGAACATGGAAACAACAATACAGTTACGGGGAACATGGATAACAACAATATAATGGGCAACAGTTACAATGGGAACATGGATAACAACAATACAGTTACTGGGCAACATGATATAACAACAATACAGTTACGGGGAACATGGATAACAACAATATATTACGGGGAACATGGATAACAACAATACAGTTACAGGGGGAACATGGATAACAACAATACAGTTACAGGGAACATGGATAACAACAATACAATATAGTTACGTATACAATACAGTTATGGGGCAACATGGAACAGGGAACATGGATAACAACAATACAGTTACTGGGGAACATGAATAACAACAATTCAGTTACGGGGCAACATGGATAACAACAATACAGTTACGGGGAACATGGATAACAACAATACAGTTATGGGGCAACATGTATAACAACAATGGAGTTACTGTCAAACATGAGCAACAACAATACAGTTACTGTTAAACATGAGCAACAACAATTCAGTTACTGGGCAACATGGATAACAATAATACGGTTACGGGGCAACATGGATAACAACAATACAACAATATAGTTACGGGGAACATGGATAACAACAATACAGTTACGGGGACGGGGGGGGAACATGGATAACAACAATACAGTTACGGGGGAACATGGATAACAACAATACAGTTACGGGGGAACATGGATAACAACAATACAGTTACGGGGGAACATGGATAACAACAATACAGTTACGGGGGAACATGAATAACAACAATACAGTTACGGGGGAACATGGATAACAACAATATAGTTACGGGGGACATGGATAACAACAATACAGTTATGGGGCAACATGTATAACAGCAATGGAGTTACCGTCAAACATGAGCAACAACAATACAGTTACTGTTAAACATGAGCAACAACAATTCAGTTACTGGGCAACATGGATAACAATAATACGGTTACGGGGCAACATGGATAACAACAATACAGTTACGGGGAACATGGATAACAACAATACAGTTACATGGGTTACGGGGAACATGGATAACAACAATACAGTTACGGGGAACATGGATAACAACAATTAACTGGGCAACATTGATAACACATGAGCAACAACAATACAGTTACGGGGGAACATGGATAGCGGCACCAACAATACAGTTACGGGGGAACATGGATAGCAACAATACAGTTACTTGGCAACATTGATAACAACAAAACAGTTACGGGGGAACGTGGATAACAACAATACAGTTACGGGTGAACGTGGATAACAATACAGTTACGGGGGAACATGGATAACAACAATACAGTTACGGGGAACATGGATAACAACAATATAGTTACGGGGGAACATGGATAACAACAATACAGTTACGGGGGAACATGGATAACAACAATATAGTTACGGGGGAACATGGATAACAACAATACAGTTACGGGGGAACATGAATAACAACAATACAGTTACGGGGGAACATGGATAACAACAATACAGTTACAATTATAACATGGATAACAACAATACAGTTACGGGGAAACATGTATAACAACAATACAGTTACATGAGGGTGAGACTGTGGATAATGAGCAACAACAATTCAGTACAGTTACAGGGCAAACATGGATAACAACAATACAGTTACGGGGAACATGGATAACACAATGGATAACAATAACAATACAGTTACGACAATACAGTTACGGGTGTACAGCGAATAGAGAGAGAGAGAGAGAGAGAGAGAGAGAGAGAGAGAGAGAGAGAGAGAGAGAGAGAGAGGTTTTCGTGGATAACAATACAGTTACGGGGAACATGGATAACAACAATACAGTTACGGGGGCACATGGATAACAACAATACAGTTACGGGTGAACGTGGATAACAACTATACAAGTTTTCAGTAACCTTGACGGAAAGATACAGTAAACACTGTAATCACTAACAGAAACAGTTACCTTGACGGTTTAGCATTGCGTTTATAATTATCACAATAGTTTATACCGTGGCTTTAGTGTACAACCACATCATATTTCAGTCAGTGCATACAGAGCCTGGAATATATATATATATATTATATTACCTTTATCGCTTTCGATGTTCAGCCGATATTGTGTTTGATCCTTTGTTGTGATAAATGACCCATGAAACACTCTGTCGGCAGGGTTCAAACATGACGCCATGTTTTCTCAGACGATATTGTTTTCTTAACAACTAACTATAAGCATGTATGCATGGGTCTCTGCTGAAACTATGTTGTTGTTAGAAAGCTGAGAAGTTGACCTTTTTAGCCAAATTGAAACCATGCAGAAGATCAAATGGTTGGTATTTGTTTACGATAGTTTATACATGTAAGTAACTTGACTGAAAAGTGTCATCGCACGTATAAGAGTTGTGTTCCATTCGATGTCGTTACATTTGACGAGAAAACATGACTCTAATAGCGTGGTTAAAGAAGTCTATTGATGAACCCGAAACGTTCCTTCCTAGCCCTACCAAGGCCCCATCAATGAAAATGACAGCAACTACCGTGGCTGCAGCCAACAAAGAGGTTCTTACTGCACTGTCCACACCCAAGAAAAGGAAACGCGAATCCACCTACAACTTTTATGACGACGAAACATCAGCGAAGATTGCACGTTATGCTGTAGAACATGGTGTTGCCAGTCGCAGTAGAAAGTTCACGAAAGAGCTGCAAAAGCCCATTAGTGAATCTAGCGCTCGCTCAGTTAGAGACAGATACAAAAGACGTTTAGTCAAGGCTCGCAAGACAGGGGTCAGTGATCATGAATTAAAGAAGATTGAAACAACGCTTCCCAACGAAAACCGAGGTAGACCATTGCTACTTAAACACTTTGATGAACAAATACAGACCTACATCAGAGCTCTTCGTGATGCCGATGTAGTAGTAAACACAACAATCCTCATTGCCGGAGCAACAGTCCGTTTGGCCAGAGAGTGACATCAAGTGTATTGACAGTTGGTTTGACTTCACATGTAAGACACTGATTGAATTATCTAATTTTTGTAATGCATGTTATTCTGGACCAACAATTACAATTAAATAGTCTCGACACCACATTTCTGTTGTTTGTTTATTCAGGCCGTTCAGGGTCACTGAACGTTAAGATTAGTTGTAGACAGGCATTACAGAGTTAATGCGCATGTCAGGAAGTCATTGGTTGCCAGCAGTTGAAATGCTTATCGATAGGAAATCTAACCCAAAGGTTTGAAGTTCGGAAAAATTCATGGATATAATAGGTTGCGTTTCTAACCTCGAAAACCTCGAAAATTAGACACCTCGAACATTTCCCGGTATACGGTATTATCCGCCTGTCGTTAACTGTGTGAGTCAAGTACAGGCTGGGCTACGTGTTACATGTGTTTGGGATGGGCGTTACCTGTTCGTTATGGTATATTCAGAATAGTCCCAGTGGACTTTGTTTTAGCTGAATTTTAAGTGATTATAGAAAGGGTTTTGTCGCCTATGTTTGTACATTTTTGTATAATTATGTTTGTACTCTGTACTCCTGTTTGAAGGCCATCTGATCTGTGTTCAGTATAGTGTAGGTCTACATACATACCGCTACATTGTACATCGGTGAACTGGGAGCTGACTCACTGGTTCAAATGTGACTTGTTGAAACCATTTATACGTCACGCCCCTCCCACATCTCACCATTCAGCTGAAACTAGGTGAGTTTGATGGCAAGGTCCCCTTCCCGAACCAGTTCTGTGGAGGGACCATTCGAATTGGCGGTACGTCAAAAGATGTCCACATAGATGACAGTTTACAAATACGGCCGGTGTTTGCGTAACAATCGCTGAAATATTATATTGACAACATTTGATTCATTTTCATCCCATGTACCTTTAGGAATTTGAGAAATTCAAGATGGCCGCTGGGCTAATGAGAACACCACCACATCTGCAACAAATACCACTGAGGTATTGTGGGGCACGCAGCATCTGTGGGGAACAAACTACACTGTTTCGGAAGAGTTAGTTCGTGAGTGAGTTCTTGAGTGAGCGAGGTATCATAATCAGGCGATTCCAGCATTTGAAAATGAAAAACAAAGAACAGTACAAAAAACGTTCAGCGGCTCCAATAACTTAAGTTCATGTAGAAGAAGGAAAGTCAGGTTAAAGCTAAAATGATTCATTACATGACACCTAATGCTGTTGTGAAACATTTATAGCAAAACTATTAATATATCTGCTCTTAAAATTTCTCACGAATGAGGGAGTGAGTGAGTATGATTTGATTAAAGCTTTTTTGAACGGTATACCATTTATATCACGGCAGGTCATCTAAATAGGAGAGGAAAGCCGGAAGTGACGTTTACAACTTTGATCCCACATGATCAGATGTTCATAAGTGTCTTCAATTATCGATATGAACTCTCGCTTAATGTTACGAGACCGACATTTGCTTGACGCACTAAATCTGCGTGGCCTCTATTTTCAATTTTCATTAAAGTTGAAAGGTCATGTCCTGTAGCCACGAGTCCTATGTTTTCTATAAATTGTCAGGTATTATAAGATTTGGGCCACACACGGGGATATTCACTGAGAAGGTTCAGTTTCTGTTGTGTTGCGATCTTACAGTCAAGAATGACCCTAGTTGTGCACTTGTTCGTGTGTTTAGCTGCCCTGGCGTGCCTCGGCCATGCATTGGGTGAGTGACTTTTATACTGCATATATCCGGGGAACTGTCATGGAATTCAATATCGTGGAGTGCCATGTTGAAGGCTTAGTCATAACGAAGTTAGGTTTAAGTTACACTGTATACAGGATTTATTTAGTTTTCATATCATGTGTTTATAACATGATAAAAAATAAAACTTTGTTTTCATGTTTTACTTTAGGAGGTTGATAAAACTGCGCAGCCAGCTTGAAAGCTAAGTAGATTCTAAATATATCTGATAAAATTATAGAAATGTATCATTTATGTTTCACATATGATAAATTTAAAATAACATTTTGATTTGAAGAATTATTCGTACAGAACTGGCCGATTTTAAAGTTATTGTATCGCTCACAATACATACACAGCAATGCTTTTCAGTTTGCAAATTCTTTGTTTGTAATGCTAAATTTGTAATGTCTTCCCAACAACTGTATATATTCGTGAACTTGAACATGTTTATCAGTATATATGTCTGATGTCGGACGACACACCAACAAGCTAACAAATTCTTTTAATTTTTTTATTATTATTTTGTATATATTTGCTCATTTACTATTTAACATCGTACTCAGCAATGTGGCGTTGATTGTTGCTTGTGAAGGTCTTGAAATCTATATTGACAGGGAACTGGACAAGTGGCTATATACTATGTTGCACCGGTATTGCACTGTGACTGCAATATACACAGACATCGTATGTCATGAAGGAAGGGTGTATAATAAGTTTGAATAAGTGTCTACGTATTGTCATAAATTAATCATCACACTGTCTCTATGAAAACGTCTTCTTGATACGTATAGCATTGTTTAAAATATACCTAAACCTTGCAAAATAATTAAAATTATTATTATTATTATTATTATTATTATTATTATTATTATAAAACGACATTCATTCCGGAATTCAGCAAGTTATAATTATAATTAAATTCGTCATTGAAGGAAGGGTTGAATATAATAGTTTGAATAAGTGCTCATATTTTCTCATCGAAATCTGTATTGACAGGGAACTGGACAGTGGCCTGAAGCACTGTAGACTGCAATATACACAGTCGTATGTTGCACCGTATTGTCATAAATTAATCATGTCTCTATGAAAACGTCTTCTTGATACGTATAACATTGTTTAAAATATACCTAAACCTTGCAAAAATATTATTATTATTATTATTATTATTATTATTATTATTATTATTATTATTATTATAAAAACGACATTCATTCCGGAATTCAGAAGTTATAATTATAATTAAATTCGTCATTGAAGGAAGGGTTTATAATAGTTTGAATAAGTGCTCATATTTTCTCATCGTCCGACTCCATCACACGATTGTCAAAGCTATGAAGCGTGGATCATTAAATGTCGCCAATCACACTGATTGCGGTCAGCTCTGTGAAGCAGTCACCAGTATAGTGCCCCGGATACAATTTTATCCTCATCAACGTTTGGACATGGAATATAAGTGACTGTTTAACATCCGTCAATTTATTCTCATTATACTTGGTAGGGATTGGGACAGTGTTAGTGTGGGCGTTGCTCTCTCCTTTAACCTTTCACTTCCTGTACAATTATACTTAATTGTCCCCCCTCTTGTTCTCTGCTATATTCAGGATGGGAGAGTTAACGCCAAACCCATATTTAACCTGTATGACGGACTGTTCATAAGCGAGTCAGAACCTGACAAACCCGTGATTGATATCACGAGCAACATTCAATACCGTCACGATACGACAACCAGGCAATCAAATTAGCGAGGCTGAACATCCAATCTATGTTGTCGCCTCGTGTAGGAAGGGTCATTTATAATCTGTAATCGCCACTCCGTGAAATAGTGAGTGAATATGTTGTTTGACCCAATATTGAATTAACGTTGATGACCGTTACTTCGTTTTGAACACGAATTATTCAAGTAATTATCGGTCGTATTTTTCAAAGGTGTTTCAAGGCTTCATTCAAGCCTAACGCCGAAATACGTGCACTAAGCCATATGTCCTTCAACTGAGTGAAATTTACTGTATTTACCCAGTAGTAAATGGGTACCCGGCAGAACGGGAGGGAAATACGAAATCCAGAACTTTCTGTGGTATTTAACAGGCTATTTGGTTTGTGTTCTCCTCAAAGAGCTGAGGCTTAAGTTGGAACAGGGTATAGTCCTGGCAGGCTCTGTCACCACGCGTGTCAGGACATAGAAGTTTCCAGACTATTACAAGTAGTGTTTGAACCACCAAAATCAGTTTCATGAATTTGAACCCTATTGTTACTATCAGTTTCGGTAATGTAGGCCAAGAATAGTTCAAATATTCCGTAAATTTGTCTTCATCGCGGATAAGTTCAAATTATGTAATTTAAGCCATAAAATTAACATATGTAATTTGCGAGACCGACAGGACACAGATTTACTGTGTCTAGCTTTTTAAACGTAGTACATAATGTGTCAGATTTGACTGACAGACTGACTGAGTTTAGTTTTACGCCGCTTTTAGCAATATTCCAGCAATATCACGGCGGGGGACACCAGAAATGGGCTTAACACATTGTACCCATGTGGGGAATCGAACCCGGGTCTTCGGCGTGACGAGCCAACGCTTTAACCACTAGGCTACCCCACCGCCCCTGTGTCAGATTTGAACTAGTTGTGCGCAATAATTAATTAGTTATTTCATCTGTAACCAACAACCACAGAAGTCTGTTTTGGTTTGGTTTGTTGTTTAACGCCGCACTCAATAATTTTCCAGCTATATGGAGGCAGTCTGTAAATAATCGAGTCTCGACCAGACAAACCAGTGATCAACACCATGAGCATCGATCTACTCAAATGGGATATGATGACATGTGTCAACCAGGTCAGCGAGCCTGATCACCCGATCCCGTTAGTCGCCTCTTACGCCGGATCTTCACGGGTCCAACCACTGGAGAGAAAGCTACATATGAACATACCGACAATATGCATATGTGTGTAGGACAGATGCCGCATAGTATGAGTGTATGGACAGTATGTCAGTATGTCAGACAGTATGTCAGTATGTCAGACAGTTTGTCATTATGTCAGACAGTATGTCAGTATGTCAGACAGTATGTCAGTATGTCAGACAGTATGTCAGTATGGTTTGATCCGGTCATGTTTCAGCCAGGGGACAATAGAGGACACTGGTGGGATTAAAACCCGGATCGTTTGCGTCACGGGCAAAACCTTTACTTGGTAATCACATCTGGTCTTTCCTTGCATGATATGTGCTGATCTTTGTCGAAATTTTATAATCAGCTTCTGTTTTACTTTTCATTAGGCGCAGAGGACAACTCAGAGGAGATCGATGGTCATGTTCAAGAAATGATTCATAGGTAAGGAATACAATAAAACAACTTTTTATCTCTCGCAGCAGGGTTTTAGAATGGACTCCGTCCGTCCATCCGTCAGTCCGTCCATGCGTGCGTCCGTCCGTGCAAATGCATATTTTCCGGAGCAGAACATAAAAACCGTCCAATATTTCTTCAGCAAACTTGGCACATAGATAGGTCTGGTGGTGAAGTTGTGCATTTGGGTAGTTTTGGATTTCTGAATAAAATATGTTTGCGTTTCGCTGGCCAATTGACTTTGACTGAAATTGGTGGTAGTGCTCCTTTCCGGTACAGAACTTTAAATCAATTCAATACTCTCTTTGTGGGTGGGCCGCCTCCGTGGTGTAGTGGCTAGAGCGTCCGCCCGGAGAGCGGAAGGTCGCGGGTTGGATCCCCGACCGCTTCATACCAAAAGACGTTAAAATATGGTACTTGTTGGTCCCTGCCTGGCGCTCGGCATTAATGGGTACAACACGGACTGGTCGGCTCGGAGTCAGTATAATGTGTCTGAGTGGGGTATTCATGCTTCACTGCGGCATGGTATCTCAGTGGGCTAGCACAATAAAACCAGCTTCAGTCTGGGCTAGTACAAGCAGCCGCACATACACACACACACACGCATGCACGTCGACATATGAGCGAAATATTCTCCAGCGCGACGTTAAACCCAATTTCACCTCACCTCACCTCACCTCACCTCTTTGTGGGTATCCAAAAACCTAATGACAAAACATAAACAGTACCGCTCTATTTCCAGTATCAACATTACTGAGGTACGTCAAAACGTACATTTGATACAGTCATAACTTGTTGACATATGCATGAAGAGTATTTTACCATTGCGGGGAATATTGATGACTTTGTCTACTTGTTGTTCTTTTTCAACGCGTAATTATTTCTTGGGAATTTTACGACTCTTATGCCAGTTTCTTATATCAGATTCTTACGCAGGATATAAAACAATTTCTCAACAGCACCAAAACAATAAGACAATTATACATAAACCGTTGATCATATATTGAAACGGAAAACTGACTGAAATTGTTGTTCAATTACCAAAATGTTCATCAATCGTAGAACTGTCCTCTCGCATAACAAGGTCCACGAATATCAGTTAATTATTCAACAGTATCATTATCACTGCCGCCTGCGCGTCATCAGTTTTGACAACGTCACTGCATCTTGTGCAGCCTAACATACTATCGAACCACTTTGAGATGCTGTAAATAAGGTCACACACTGCAGCAAAATCTTACTGAGCACAGATACTAGAACACATTCTCCCTGAATATTGTAGAAAAGAAAGAAATATATATCAACATTATATACTGGATTTTAGTTGATGCATGTCTGCAAGTCTTGCGAACAACCAATCACTTATAGCATGGAGCATATATCAATACCGATATTAGACTACATTTAAACTTTGTATGCAAGTACTCCTTGTGATGAGATGGGATATGCATGGATTTGAAGTTTTCCATTTTCCCCATTTTTGCATTAGTTTGGTGCGTTTATGTGAAACTGGTTCTTGAGAGGTGATGAACTGTGGAACAAACGAAACTATACTTCTCAGTTGATATTATCATATATTTCATGTATATCTATCTATAAAATCTATATCTATACATCTATAAAATATCTAAAGTAAGACTTAGTCAGCACTTAATGAATACTTATCTTCACTAGTGTAGGGAGAAGGCGACCATGCGTGGTGCACCTGTGCCAAATCCCTTTGTTCCTTTTGGACAATGAAATATGTTATACAGTACTCTCCTAGTGTACTGTGATGTCACTTGCATTGTGACGTCATAACTCAGTAATGACGTCATAGTGACGACGTCATAGTCCTAACTGACAGTTCACCTGATGAAGGGACCTGGAATGGTCTCGAAACGTTGTGAGAGAAATTTAAAAAGAAGTTTAATCCATAAAAAATATCTTGGACATCAATGTACAACTTCTAAATGCCATTGAAAGACATCATGAAATATGTTAGCAACAAATACATATTAGTCTTATGCGTCTCTTCCTCTGTTAGCTGAACATACAATTCTAAACATGTTTAAACCCTAACTCACATAGTTTTGTAGTTTGGTTTAAACACAATTTGTGATTGTATATACGATATGGTATAACGGTTAGACGGCCGAACACCTCCGTTCGATGTAGTTCCCTCCCCTTGGTCATGCTAGGATACTATACCTTTAGAATCACAAATTCATCCTAATCATAATCCCCTGTTTATAACACCGCAACCGTGGGTTTCACCAAAGTGGAAAACGTCCCTACGTACGACTGTCGTCCGAGGCGGTACATGGATTTGGAGAACATGATATTAATGATCGCGTATATTCTTAGCGTGAATATGTGGGACGCCTCTCATGATGTCAATCACTGGGAAAGAAGCTGAAAAATTGTTTAAAGCGGTATTGAACCCCAAATGGGGTGGTGTGTGGTCATGTGCATAGAGCCCAGGTCACAAATCAGTTAAAGTAAAGCAACGTTGGTCACTTGAATGGGTGTCCGTGTTTGGCAGTTTGAGTCTTGAGACTTTCTAGGACTTCAGTCCTGCCTCACAATGAAGCACACGTGGCACATGTGGTCTCACCCAGGGCAAGTTGTCTCAGTTTACCTTGCAGTGAATGGGTACCCGGTGGGATAAGCCATATGACTGATACCGTTCTAGGGCCTGACATACAACTTGGGTTAACCAGGGTAATAATGTGTCTGCGCCATGAGTATGCACACGTGCGTGGATACAGGTGCTTTATAAATAGTTATTATGATTATTATGATTATATTATTAAATGTTTTTCATAGTCGTGAAATTAACCAACTAACCTCTGATTGATTCTCTTTTTCAGTATACGCTGGGCCGCTAAAAGAGCGACTGACGGGGACGTCAGGAACGTCAAATACGCCAAACGTGATCGGCAGCTGCTCGGTTTTGGGGGCCGATGTGGGGTTATAAACGAATGGTGTTCTGCCTGGGCCACCCACTGTTGTGAACCATTCATTTGCAGGTATAAGAGTTGGACTCATGTTTTCTCCAGGACTGGGGGACGCTGCGCCTAGAAACTGACGTCAACTTAATAAAGATTCAGATAGACAATTACAAAGTGAATACAATTGTGTCTGTTATTTTATACCAATAAAATTGCTTAAACAGCAATAATAACTCAGTATTTGACAGTTTACATTATTTTAAGAGGTTTGGGACATTTCAGGGTGCCATGTGATTATTTTGGCTATTCGTTGCGTTGTCTTCGGCGCCGCAATTAGCAATAAAGAGTCCTGATCCTTATGTACGCCAGCTACCTGAGAATGTGTATTCACGGTTCGCCATGATTATGTGCTTAGGTTTGTCTGCACCAAATCTATGCTCGTGGATTTCACAAAACGCGTAAGACAAGCATTACTTCGGGGTTTCCTCCCACTTTTAGCTGACCCACATTGATATTCATCAAGTACTATTCAATCACCAATCACACTAAATATACCAAGAAGGGGAACGGATGTCTGCATGCAGTCCTTTAGGAGCCAGAAACCGCTGGTCGTTCATCCGAATCCCCGTTTATCCCTAATCACGATATTAGGCCAACAATCTCTGTCAATCGTGCTGGCGAAATCTGAGGTAATATTCTAAGAGTTGCACCTCTGCGGACAGTCCTCCAGTATCAAGCTGGCGTACTCCTTTAAAGCTGAAATTATATCCAAGCCCCGTCTTACTCACTCGATATTGCTGGAATATTGCTAAAAGCGTCGTAAAACCATACTCACTCGCTCACCCACTCACTCTCACTCTCACTCTCGGTCTCACTCACACTCACTCACTCACCCTCACTCACTCACTAACCACTCACTCTCACTCTCACTCTCACTCACACTCACTCTCTCTCACTCACTCACTCACTCACTCTCACTCTCCACTCACTCACTCTCACACTCCACTCACTCACTCACACTCTCACTCACACTCACACTCACTCACTCACTCACTCACACTCACACTCACTCACACCACTCACTCACTCACTCACAATCCTCACTCCTCACACTCTCACTCCACTCTCTCTCACTCTCACTCTCACTCACACTCTCACACTCTACTCACTCACTCTCACTCACTCTCACTCACACTCTCACACTCACACTCACACTCACTCACTCACTCACTCACTCACTCACTCTCACACTCACTCCACTCACTCCTCACACACTCACTCACACTCTCACTCACCTCACTCACTCACTCCTCCTCTCACTCCACTCACTCACTCACTCACTCACTCACTCACCTCACTCACTCACCACTCACTCACACTCACTCACTCACTCACTCACTCTCTCACTCACTCACTCTCACTCACACACACACTCACACTCACACTCACTCACTCCTCACTCTCACTCACTCACTCCACTCACTCACTCACCTCCTCTCACTCACAATCACTCCTCACTCACTCACACTCTCACTCTCGCTCTCACTCTCACTCACTCACTCACTCACTCTATAGTTGCGAAGTACACAACGAGGTTCGATTCCCCACTGGGTGCAATACCTAATCATTACAGATTACCACAGTGTTTTGCAGCAGAGAGAGTAGTTGAGAGCACAAGACCTGCCATAAAGGGAGTCGAAACTCATCAATCTCCCAGCGTGGATTCCACGACGGCTTGGATATTGAACAATGTGAAGTCTGCATATTTGCTGCCAGCATCAAGATCTTCAACCGAGGCGGCTCAACTCAGACTCTTGCGCCACAGTTGACGCTCATTACATGAACGTAAAGGCCAAGATGGCATTCCCCAATTACATTTGAAGTCGTGTTGCTAATCATCCCCATAACATGGACTTGAATAATTCAGACATGCGTCACTGCAAATGCCAGAATGCAATAATTTTAGATTCAATATTCGTCACCATTCGTGGTGTATATGCAGATATATGTGACACATTAATTTTTCCAGCACTGGTGTTTTTGAACGGCTTGACATATACCGAGTAACAAGCGTCACTGTACATCCTTCTGTGTTACCGTGCATCACCTGACATCACTGTACATCATTCAGATTCACCGTACATCACCTAACGTAACTATACATAACTCTGTATCGCTGTACACCACCTAACGTCTGTATTGCTGTACATCACCTAACGTCACTGTCACTGTTCATCCTGTCTGCATCACTGTACATGACCTAATGTCACTGTTCATCACCTGACGTCACTGTACATCACTCAGCACCACTGTACATCACTCTGCATCACTGTACATGACCTAATGTCACTGTTCATCACCTGGTGCCACTGTACATCACCTAACGTCACTGTACATCCATCTGCATCACTGTTCATCACCTAACGTCACTGTGCATCACCTAACGTCACTGTTCATCACTCAACATCTCTGTACATCACCTGACGTCACTGTACATCACTCTGTATTGCCGTGCATTACCTAACGTCACTGTACATCCTTCGGTGTCACCGTGCATCACCTGACGTCACTGTACATCACTCTCTAACAACACTCTGTATCACTGAACGTCACCTAACGTCAGTGTACATAGATCTGCATCACTGTACATCATTCAGATTCACCGTACACCACCTAACGTCACTATTCATCACACTGTATTGCTGTACACCACCTAACGTCACTGTACATAAATCGACATCACTGTACATCACCTAACGTCACTATACATCACTCTACATCACTGTACATCACCTAACGTCACTGTACATAGATCGGCATCACTATATATCACCTAACGTCACTGTACAACCATCTTCATTATCATTATTATTATTATTATAGGATTTTTATATAGCGAACATATCCACGAAACTACTGTAGCTCAAGGCGCTGGTATTTTTTCCCTCGATCATTAGATGTCAATCTCAACAGCACATCGTATTTTCACTCAACTCACTGGGGAGTATACAACTCTTGCTGCTGCGCACCGAGTTATTGTGGCTTTCTCATCCTAACGAGGTACCCATTCACAACTGGGTGGACTGGGACACATAGTCACAGTTCTTTGTCAAAGTTCACTGCACGTTGCTGTTCCCGCAACTAGGTGTTTGCACGTATTCATGTGGCCACCATCTGATCATATACCAACGGATCCGTGGGTACTTTTAAGTGCACAGGGTTGTGTACTTTACACTAGGGGTTGTGACAACACGGAAAGAGTCAGCACACAAAGTTGTCTCTAAGGTTTTTACACTCGGTCACAGGTGGGCTCGACCCCGGCACCTCAACCTCGCTGGATCACTAGCCTGGCGCCTTAGCCAGCTCGCCCACCGGGTCCCCACTATACACTATACATTACCTAACGTCAGTGTACATCACTCTGCATCACTATACATCACCTAACGTCACTGTACATCACTCTGCATCACTATACATCACCTAACGTCACTGTACATATATCGGAATCACTGTACATCATTCAGATTCACCGTACATCACCTAACGTCACTGTACATCACCTATCGTCACCGTACATCACCTAACGTCACTTTACATTACCTAACGTCACTGTACATCACCTAACGTCACTGTACATCACTCTGCATCACTGCACATGACCTAATGTCACTGTTCATCACCTAACGTCACTGTGCATCACCTAACGTCACTGTACATCACTCAGCATCACTGTGCATCACCTGACGTCACTGTACATCCTTCTGTGTCACCGTGCATCACCTGACGTCACTGTACATCACTCTGTATCACTCTACGTCACCTAACGTCAGTGTACATGGATCTGCATCACTGTACATCATTCAGATTCACTGTACACCACCTAACGTCACTATTCGTCACGCTGCATCACTGTACATCACCTAACGTCACTTTTCATCACGCTGCATCACTGTACATCACCTAACGTTACTGTACATCACTCTGCATCACTATACATCACCTAACGTCACTGTACATCACCTAATGTCACTGTGCATCCCCCTGTATCACAATATATCACCTAACGTCACTTTGCATCAGTATGTATCGCTGCACATCAGGTAGTAGTACTGTACATGCCTCTAACACATGACATGGCATGTATATCCCTCTGTCTTACTTGCATGGCGTGATATCACTGGACACCCCTTTGTACCACTGTACATCACTGGACACCCCTTTGTACCACCGTACATCTGTGGGCATTTACACATGTGAAATTGACATGATAAATGATAACCTCTGATATATTGTCGTTAACGGTGAATAAATACATCAACTATTGACGCGACGTTTCGCTATTATATCATTATCATGAGTGTCCAAATTACAGAAGGTTATACAACAAATCATTACCGCGGCATGTAGTCTATGAGTGGATTAAAATCTAAAAAACTTTACTCGGAAAAAAATGTGTCATTCAGATATGTATACACATTTGTCCAAGTACCGTCAAAGAGTTGAACGTTAATGAGGCAACGATTGAATACCAGCGCCATGTTTAAATGCTAGCGTGTTTACGTCGTTCAGTCATACCTTGAAAGGTCACCGATACTTATGAATCATGAAATTATCTTTCGCAGGAATAACTGAATATGTATGTCACACTGGCAGTGTAAATCACATTCACTTTCCAATTCGATCTAAGACGGTCGACCTCACCGAAAACAAGATGAAATGTACCGCTCTATTGGCAGTTGTTGCAATCAGCTGTTTCTTGACACGTAAGTAACATTCTACTGACATACATCACGAGAAGGTTGACAATGTGTATTTCGCTGTATGCTATATTCTCGGCATGTTCCTTTGACTCACTGACTGACTGACTGAGTATATTTTTACGCCGTTTTTAGCAATATTCCAGCAATATCACGGCGGGGGACACCACAAATGGGGCTCACAAATTGTACCCATGTGGGGAATCGAACCCGGGCCTTCGGCGTGACGAGCGAACGCTTTAACCACTAGGCTACCCCACCGCCCCTGTTCCTTTGACACCTTGATATGGGTATGTAGAAGTTTCAACATGTGGAAGGTTTGGGAGGTATCCCATGTTATTTTCAGCATGCAAAATGTTTGAGTTTATTAATGCAAAGGTTTTTATCAGAAATTCTAATTCTGATTGAAATTTCAATGTTCGCATTTTATTACGATAAATCAAATTAATAAAGAAAAGATCCTATTATTGTGGTTACCAAAGAGTGAGTGAGTGAGTGAGTGAGAAAGTGAGTTTATTTTTGTTTTTTAGCAATATTCCATCAATATCCGGGCGGAAAGACTACAACTGAGCTACACTCATTGTACTCATACCAAAGAGATGAACGTGTATGGCACTGTGTTAATTGTGTTTATATCCTGACTGTATTGAACGTTAAAGGCGACGCAACTAGTTCCTTAGAGTTACGTCCCTTAAGCGTACCAGGACCCGACGCTCGAGGCCTTTATCCGCCTTAATTGTGGATTATCAGCTTCATGTCAGTGTTCATAGGTTTGTTTCACCAAGATATAAACCACCTTTCCAACAACATGAAGTTGCCAGAACGTGTACTTGAAAACGCCTTATGTAGCCCTACTTTCCACCTCATCTGCAGAATGTGATGAAAATATAATTGCTGTGTGAATATTTCTTGCACTTAACTCTTCTGACACAAAACTAAACAATCACATTGAAAGGTTACTCCCACAGATCGGACACCTCCTTAGGAGGTCAGGACATCTTCGACCCGTGAAGGTCCGGGTTGGAATATTGGCCTTCAGTAACCCATGCTTGTCGTAAGAGGCGACAGGCTCGCTTACTTGGTTGACACATTTCATCCGTTTCCAATTGCGTAGATCGATGCTCATGCTGTTGATCACTGGATTGTCTTGTCCAGACTCGATTATTTACAGACCGCCGCCATATAGCTGGAATATTGCTGAGTGCGGTGTAAAACTTAACTCACTCACTCACTCCCTCAGGACATCTTCACTTAAGCTTGTCTCAGGGAATCCTTATCGAGCAGTCATCATCCAGTAATTTGAAAGACGGTTGAGATCTGGAGCAAATCTGATGTTAGCTTTCTAAAACAAATTGGCTTCTTTTTTCAGTTGCAATGTCTCGATTCGGACATTTCGATATTTGAAAAATATACTTGCCTATGAACTCAGTACATACCCCATAGTACACATAATTTTATGAAGATGGCATGGCGCGGCTGAACAGCAGGGTGTCTGTAGACGGGACATTTTGGTTTTTCTTGTCAGATACGCTGATTAGATTTGGCGCCCTGAATGCTTAGATTGCTCCAACCGAGATTTCAGAAGCTCGGCTGTTAAGAAAATTCAACTTGCGTAACTTTCTAAGGTGGTATCATCAGATCTTGAGGCTGGGGGGTATGGTGCCTCGTATGGTCATTATAAGTAAAACAACGTGCAGACACATCGATGTTGTGTGATAATCACTCTTCAGATTTAGTGTGAGTTTTGTGTTTGTATTTCTCCTAATGGGAAAGTGGGGTAGCCTAGTGGTTAAGGCGTTCGTCACGGCGATGACCCGAGTTCGATTCATACATGGGTACAATTTCTAGAGTCATCAATCGTGATATTGCTGGAATATTACTAAAATCAGCGTAAAACCAAACTCACTCACTCCAAACATACTGTACCATTAAAAAAGAAGTTATAAATAAACAAATACGGTTTTCATATTCACACTTTTGTTCGCCTGAATACATGCAGGTAACTGGACAAAAATGAGGCGATTTTCGCGTTTCCCTAAATCTAACTACATGTATCTCTGTATCATCAGTACTCTGTGTCGTCGTCGTTCTGTGTATCAATCAACATTATCAACAATGGCGTTGAATGTTAAGTTTCTATCAGGCATACGCTGTTTTATAATGTTCACAGTTAATAATAATGGCGTTGAATGTTAGGTTTCTATCAGGCATACGCTCTTTTATAACGTTCATAGTTAATAACAATGGCGTTGAATGTTAAGTTTCTATCAGGCATACGCTCTTCAGAATGTTCATGGCGTTAACAATGAATGTTAAGTTTCTATCAGGCATACGCTGTTTCTATCAGGCATACGCTCTTCACAGTTAATAACAATGGCGTTGAATGTTAGGTTTCTATCAGGCATACGCTCTTTTATAATGTTCATAGTTAATAACAATGGCGTTGAATGTTAAGTTTCTATCAGGCATACGCTCTTTTATAATGTTCATAGTTAATAACAATGGCGTTGAATGTTAAGTTTCTATCAGGCATACGCTCTTTTATAATGTTCATAGTTAATAACAATGAATGTTCATCAGTTAATGTTCACAGTTAATAACAATGGCGTTGAATGCGTTGAATGTTAAGTTAACAATGGCTATCATCAGGCATACGCTCTTTTAATGTTCACAGTTAATAACAATAATGGCGTTGAATGTTAAGTTTCTATCAGGCGTTGAATGTTAAGTTTCTATCAGGCATACGCTCTTTCAGTATGTTCACAGTTAATAACAACGGCGTTGAATGTTAAGTTTCTATCAGGCATACGCTCTTTTAGAATGTTTACAGTTAATAACAACGGCATTGAATGTTAAGTTTCTATCAGGCATACGCTCTTTTATAACGTTCATAGTTAATAATAATGGCGTTGAATGTTACGTTTCTATCAGGCATACGCTCTTATAACGTTCATAGTTAATAATAACGGCATTGAATGTTAAGTTTCTATCAGGCATACGCTCTTTTATAATGTTCATAGTTAATAATAATGGCGTTGAATGTTAAGTTTCTATCAGGCATACGCTCTTTTATAACGTTCATAGTTAATAACAATGGCGTTGAATGTTAGGTTTCTATCAGGCATACGCTCTTTCAGAATGTTCACAGTTAATAACAACGGCGTTGAATGTTAAGTTTCTATCAGGCATACACTCTTTTATAATGTTCATAGTTAATAATAATGGCGTTGAATGTTAGGTTTCTATCAGGCATACGCTCTTTTGTAATGTTTACAGTTAATAATAATGGCGTTGAATGTCAGGTTTCTATCAGGCATACGCTCTTTTATAATGTTCATAGTTAATAATAATGGCGTTGAATGTTAAGTTTCTATCAGGCATACGCTCTTTTATAATGTTCATAGTTAATAACAATGGCGTTGAATGTTAGGTTTATATCAGGCATACGCTCTTTTATAATGTTCATAGTTAATAATAATGGCGTTGAATGTTAGGTTTCTATCAGACATACGCTCTTTTATAATGTTCACAGTTGATAATAATGGCGTTGAATGTTAAGTTTCTATCAGGCATACGCTCTTTTATAATGTTCATAGTTAATAACAACTTTCAAGTATAAAGGTCCCTTTTATATTCAAATGGTGTGCTATGCTTGAAATATTAAACCAAAGATGTTTATTACAATTGTTGCTCTGAGCATTATGAAGGAAACACGAAATATTATGGGTTGTCCTATCGGATTAGGTGTTAATCAACTCAGACTATCGCAGACCATGTAAACGATGACTTCAAACTGAACCGAGTTAGACCTTTAGGTCGAGTTGTTTCTTCACATTTGATACTTGTCGTTAAGTGCCACATGTAACAATATTCAAACTATATCATAGACGATGGGCTCCGAAAACTGGTGGGTGAAAGCATGAGCAGTGCTCTACTGTGTAGGAATACAATGAGAGACAATCACCCAGTCGTCTCAAGTGGCAATGTCAGGTGGGAACGGAAGACATATTCCGTCCCAGTCTAATGGGGTTGTGAGAGTGAGTGAGTGAGTGAGTATGGTTTTACGCCGCTTTTAGTAATATTCCAGCAATATCACGGCGGGGGACACCAGAAATGGGCTTCACACATTGTACTCGTGTGGGGAATCGAACCCGGGTCTTCGGCGTGCCGGGCTAATGCTTTAACCACTAGGCCCCCGAGGTTGTGAGATCACTCTCCAGTTACTTGTCGTTACTGTACTATTTCTCCTTTTATTTAGAGGCAGAAGGGGCCAGTGTCCCTGGGGTTCTGAAGAAGGAGAAGACCGTACGAGAAGCTCAGGATGAACTACAAGACCAGCTCCTTCAGCTGATTGATGCGTGAGCTTAACATCATGTTTCTGTATTTTCTTAATTCTAAATCATTTTTTAAAATGTATTTTAAAGAAAGCGTAAAACACATTTACTTACAAAAGTTCTATGCAGAATATAATGTTGCTATATAATAATCTGCGTATGTTAACGTTGCGTTACGTTTGTTTATCAGGGTTAACACTGCTGAAGGCGAGGTAGATGGCCCGGACAACCGACGGGACGTAGAATGGCCCTGGGAGACTCCCTGTGCTCCGGTAATGGCAAACTGCAGCTTCTCGGGCCCCTACTGCTGTGGGGACATGACCTGTTTCAGACGCGGGCTACAGTGGAGCGGCGAGTGCAGGGTAGTCATTGAGGAGGGAACCGTTCCCCCATTGCGGGGCACTGATTGAACAACAAAAATCATTTGCGTTTAAAAACATTTAAACTTATCTCGACTTAGTTGTTATGGCCTTTGTCATTGTCACTGTACTACTTTCTGCATGAACTGGATTCCACACGATACTACGGTGATCTTTCCAACGTGTCTAGGTGAAATAAATTAGATGCACTGACGAAGAGTTTAGTTATTTGTTTGTGGTCAATAGCACAGTGATAAGCGCGTTTGCTTCAGATTCTCAGCGGTTTTCCGTACCCATGTACACAATGATCTGTGAGCATTCGGTAGTTTTTGTCTTTCTCTTCTACAAGACTTGCTCCAAGGCTGTACAGAATGAAAAGTTCATGGATATGTCGTAATTCTATCCTTGTAATATACTCATGCCAATAATGGTTGTCACCCCCTCCCCACCCCAACCCCACACACACCTCACACCCCCACCCCCTCTCCAATTAAAACAATTGAAGGGGTGACAACCATTATTGGCATGAGTATATTCGGCCAGTCTAGATACACATACAGTAGAATTAAAGTGACAAAACCACTGGACCAAGCTCAAAGAGTACGGTTACTCTAGAGGGAAGTTACTCTGTTTTGTTATATCTGTCCAGAAACTATTCTCCTTCTCCCGTCATTATGTAGTTATCCCTGTAGTTATCCCTCACGGGAACATTTTGGTGAGATGCACTAACAATAACATGGATCGCAAAATGTAGAAGAAGAGTTAGTTAAATACCAGGCTCCTTATAGACGTCTTGCTAAATACAGTGAAGGGGGAAAATTGTTATACACTTTATGGAATAACACAGCTGATATATATGAAGACCTATCCTGACTATTTCGACGTATTTAGCAGATTCGAGGTCAAGTAAGATTTCTCTTTACACACATTTCTTAAAATATTGTTTCCATCAACACATATTGATTCACCGGAGACGTAGCCTTATTCCGTTCAGTATGACTTGACCTTGCAAATTATTTGACGTATGGAAAGAAAACTAATGAAAACAACCAATTATTTTTTGGCCAGTTTTCTCTATACCTTCCTAAGATCTAAACACTATATCCTAGAACACTACATCCCTACATATTTTTTATATTTTTCACCACAAAATCCGCTAACCTGTTAATATGAATGTCGAACTTAAAGATACAATGTCCTTTTCGCCAGTGAAAGAAATCAATTTCGCCAGTATGATGCCATTTTCGTTTGCTGACAAGGCCTTTAACTGTGTTCTTCCTGTCTAGCAGCCGTATAATCAGAAAAGGTAGCAGCAATTGTATAGTTTCTCTCAATACCATAGCTATGTGCTCACTTACCACACAGTTATATCTTACTGTATGCAAACGGGTGTACGTATTGACACGTTTGGCCTCACTCGACACACTTACACGTTTTAATACATTACAATTTGCTTTGTGTCCGACTGAGCGTCTTCGAGTTTTATGTCTTTGAGAATGCCATCCATATCAGTCAATGATATCGATTGAGTGAATATTAATAGTGTTTCAGATACACAACCTCGGGATTGGGGTTAACGTACAAAGAAACAATACCATGTCGAATCTGAGATTCGAACCTATCTCATAGGCTTCTGACACAGCGACTCACAGGGGCCACCAAGTCTCTATCAATACACATCTAAATGTTATATATCGTTATATTATTAGGTTTTATGGAGTTATATTTCAAACTTGGACTTAACCAATTCCCCGATCAGGAGATAATGTCTGTAACTTGAAACCATGTGGCCACATCCGTATATAAATAAAGACATAAAAAAATATAATACATAAATATGTACATGTAATATGCATTCGACATCGTAGCGCTATTTTTATGCAATTGTCAAATTCCTTCTCTTTACTGTAACAAAAATGTCACAAATCAAATCATAACTTTCAGCTGTTTATGCCAACTTCGACATTTTAAGGTTTAACTTATTATGTCATTTTCTCCCCTCTGCAGTAAGGAGAACAATAATGGCCCAATTGTGTTAATCACTGTGACGATTTGGGGCATCAACAACTCTCCAGGTGGGGAGTCTGAGATGTGTTTGGCCTTGAAACTGGTCCATAATATGTAAATCCACAATATTCAAGCTGTATCACTTTGGAAAGCAAATACATGCATTTGGGTCGTACAAACCTGTGACTCTGAGTGAGTAAGTGAGTGAGTGAGTATGGTTTTACGCCGCTTTTAATAATATTCCAGCAATATCGCGGACACCAGAAATGGGAATCGGTGCGGAATGGTGCGGAATCGATCCCGGGTCTTCGGCGTGACGAGCGAGTAAGTGAGTAAGTGAGTTTAATTTTACGCCGCATTTAGCAATATTCCATCAATATCACGGCGGGGGACACCAGAAATGGGCTTCACACATTGTACCCATGTGGGGTATCGAACCCGGGTCTTCGGCGTGACGAGCGAACGCTTTAACCACTGGGCTACCCCACCGCCCCACCTGTGACTGTAAACATCAGCAACGACGACTACGACACGCAACGAGAACTACGACACGCAATCGACACAGCAAACAAACCTGATCTTTTATCGTCTCTTCTTAAGATGGAGACGGGAAGTTGGGTCCATAGTTTTAGATACCACAAAACAAAACAAAACAAAAAACACCACAAAATGTTTCATTTGTGAAAAATGGTCCCTCGGCAGAAAGCATCAAACAAAACCCCAAGGATTTTGTTAAGAACACCATTTGAATAAACGTCTTCCTTTTACAGTCAAATTAGTGTCTAATTGTCTGTAATGACATTCGTGAGGGTTAAAGTGTGTAACAGTAATAACCAAGAGCATCCCTGTACCGCGAAACCTCGATAATCCGGATTGTATTTGGCCCCAATTACGTTGTTTGAATTGTGTAATATTGTACAATGCCTGTTTTTAAAAATCCTTTATGAGTCGATAATGAAATAAAAGATGTCAAAAGCAATTCCTCCCTTCGCGATGCAGGGACAGTTTGTGAACATTTAGGTGCCAAGGGGGTTTTCAGTTCGTCCGAACAGTATCATCCCTGGTAAAGTGGTCCTGGAGCTCAGAGTCCGGATAACGGGTTCTAGATTAACGGGGTTTCACTATTTTGATGAGGCTTCAGTGTACAATGTCACATTATTTATGATTCGTGCCACCAGTGTATGACCCTCTGTAAAACTGTTTGTTATCATGATAATAATTTTAATAATATTACAGTTTATTGAAGGCTAACAAATAAAACCCAATGGCGTCAAGGCTTACAGTAACACGTGACCAAGGTAACAACGAAGTTTATTTTTGTTCATAAACAATATCACGGTTTTATTGAATCCTAAGAAATGAAGTAATAACTATGGAATACTGTAAGGGACATTCTCGCAATCTCGCATTCTCGCACTTTTGGCATTTTTAGCTTGTTTCCAAAGGACGAGATCGCGAGAATGCGAGATCGCGAGAATGTCCCTTACAGTATTCCATAAATAACGGAGTTCTTTTGCTGTTATAATTACCGCTAAGTACTTGAATAAAAGAAACTTTCACCAACAATAGCATTTGGGATTAAGTAGCTCTTTTGAAAAATACATTTGATGTCTAGTATTAAGTGGCAATCCCCACTTACCTGTGTTGATTGAGACTTTGCCATCGTTTCTTTTCTCACTATCTTGTGGTTTCACTTCTAACGATTTATTCAGATAAAATAGATTTAAATGAAAACTGTCAAATACAGAAAAGAAAAACATCACGTAGTAAGCAATTGAACCTTTTAGTACAGAAGGTCAAGCTAAGTACCTGGTTCGATTCTTAAAATGAGAACATGTACAGTTCATGAAGTGAATTCAAGGTCCTTGGTGATATCTCTGATACATTCAAGCATCACTTACTCAAAATGAATACACTGCAGAGAGAAACGAAAATAACATCAGCAGAATTCTGTGTTCATTTCGATTCTATATATGACAAATATTGCACTAATAAAGACTACAACGATCTTGTCTTAATGAAACAGGCATTGAAACATCCCTATCATGTTTTCCTCCCAAATGACTTGTTATATGATGGTTTTAACACCTTCAAACTTTTGCGTGCCTGGTTTGGTGGTGCTCACTGGCCCACGGGCAAACTGTAGCGCAAATAGGGTTGCGCAACACAGAGAAAATGACCAGTCTTCCTATATGAGAGCGTAGCGTATAGGAAGACTGGTCATTTTCTCTGTGTTGCGCAACACTATTTGTGCTACAGTTTGCCTGAGGCTGACCTTACACTCATATTTAATAAGTATATTTCAACACATGCACGAACGTTGAAAATTTACCAATGTATGCACCTTTAATGTCATATCCATTTGAAAAATACAGCCTAATTATGTTAATTAGAGATAGGGGAATACCGTGACCTATCCAAGTTGTTCACCCCTAACCTCAAATTGACGACATCCGCTTAAATGTCACGAGCTGTCACGTGATTTGCAACCCCCACTGGTCCTGAACCAGGCCTCGGCGAAATATGGTTATATATTCTGATCGGTCGGTGCGAGACATTACTACAGGATTTGAACATCTCTGAACATGGGGCGTTTGGTGTTAGCAGCAGCGTGTGTCCTTGGACTGGTGTGCATCGCGAATGCAGCAGCACGTATGTATAACGTTGCAGCATGTGAATACAATGTGAATACGATATGCACTGTATTGTACAATTTTCGGAAAATAATCTTATTGGTTGCAGCGATGGTTGACAATGTGTTAGACGAGGATATTTCTGAGGTGCAATCGTCACGTTCTTAGCATCTGGGCATGAAACGTAATACATGCATATACTGAATTCAAAAAGAAAGTATACATCCATGTTAGATGGTTGTTGAATTAATATGCTAAAATGGTTATTGATGAATTTGATTCGCGTATCAAAGTTGTGTGTTGTACATTAGGTTTCAACGACTTTAATTCTTTAATTTGGTATGCTAGCTATGTATACTGTCAATCCTTACTGCAGCGAATACCCTACTTGTCAAAGGACATGTGTCGTTTTCATAATGTCATTGATCATCTTGTTCACGATCTTGTGCATAGGTATATACTCATTATTCAGGAAAGACACATCGCTGCGAATGTCTGCTCGTGGTTAATATACTTTCATGTTACGAGACCTTTGCCATCAGTTTAACCAAACATAAACTTACAAAGGACGTAGCGTTCAACAGTCTTTTCTAAGTAGAAACTGCGTCTGGGTATGCATAAATCGTCATCATGTCTTCTGTGCTCACAGTATTGACCACCAGTTTGCGTTACTTAAACTCTGTTCTTTACGTGGTCGTCATTCGCCCATTCTCAGCCAACACTCTGTTCTAACAAGGAATTCTTCTGTTTCAGCCAGAGCCGGAAATTTATCGCCTTTATTCCCGTTCCAGTTTTTGAAACGCTCCCTGAGTGAGAGTGAGCGACAAGCTCGAGAAAGCAATGACAGACTCCAGGAAGAGATTCAAAATGTCGTTGAAAAGTAAGAATAATGTTTACTCGATTCAAAGTTATTGACATCCATCCCTACTCTATGCCTTTGTCCGTCCCACAATCGGTTCCCTGTATCTCGATGTTTCTAGGTGATATTCATATCCCATTCAGGAAGATTCGGGGCGGTCGGGTAGCTTAGTGGTTAAAGTGTTCGCTCTTCACGCCGAACACCCGGGTTCGATTTCCAATGGGTGGAACCCATGTATGGTGTCCCCCGTCGTTATATTACTGAAATATTGCTAAAAGCGGCATAAAACCATACTCACTCACTCACCCTCACAACCCCATTAGACTGGGACGGAATATTTCCTCCGTTCCCACCTGACATTGCCGCTTGAGACGACTGGGTGATTGTCTCTCATTGTAATCCTACACAGTAGAGTACAGTTCATGCTTTCGTTCAAGGCTAATATTTGGTGAGGTGAGGTGAAATTGGGTTTAACGTCGTGCTTGAGAATATTTCGCTCATATAACGACGTGCATGCGTGTGTATGTGTATGTGCGGCTGCTTGTACTAGCCCAGACTGAAGCTGGTTTTATAGTGCTAGCCCACTGAGATACCATGACGCAGTGAAGCATGAATACCCCACTCAGACACATTATACTGACTCCGAGCCGACCAGTCCTTGTTGTACCCATTAATGCCGAGGGCCAGGCAGGGACCAACAAGTACCATATTTTAACGTCTTTTGGTATGACGCGGTCGGGGATCGAACCCGCGACCTTCCGCTCTCCGGGCGGACGCTCTAACCAGTACACCACGGAGGCGGTCTAATATTTGGTACACCCATAGGACTTCGTCAGACCCCTCCGTGAATCATGGGTAGTTACCCTCTTGGCCTTATAACATATATGTGAATAACGATCACCACCACATATGGAATCCCAGCTTGTTTTAGAAAAACAGCAACGCGACAATGTCCCTTCGAAGGTTCCATAATCATACCTGAATTACATGGGTATACAGATATATTGCCAGAACCTTTCGTGCAATGATGAAAAGCGTTGGAAAGAAGAACCTCGCTAAGCTGCAATCAAAACTAACTCTCCAATTCACACGTGAATAAAGTCCATTTCTCCTTAGAGATAATTTTTCAATTATGATCAGCAACAACATTCCAGAAGGCAGCCCTGAAATGAACGCAGATACTGTGTCATGTTACCATGTTGTTCAGTTTGTCGACCTCATGTTCTGGTTGTCATACATCACTGGGAGCGGTGGGTAGCCTAGTGGTTAAAGGCGTTCGCTCGTCACGCCGAACATCCCGGTCGGAACCTCCACACGGGCACAATGTGCGAAGCCCATTTCGGGTGTCCCCCGCTGTGATATTGCTGGAATATTGCTAGAAGCGGCGTAAAACCATACTCACTCACTAATATATCACGGGTGGCCTAGTGATCTTGGTCCATGTGCAAGGTCCCGCTTAATCTGTCATCCAGCCTTGCTGTAATACTAAAACCACATTTTTCTTGGGTTCAGGTTAAATCATTTACTGCAGTGGGGCCTTGTTTTAATTTAATTTCCATCACAATTTACCCAAGATCGGGGTTAGAATTAGTCTTCAGCATTCCATGCTTGTCGTAAGAGGCGACTAACGGGATCTGGTGGTCAGATCACACTATTGATCCTGCTAACGAAGATCTGAGAACATACCTTTTAAATATACGTGACGTCAGAGCGACCTTGACCGACCAAGTATCAAGATGCCAGCATTATCCCATCGGAGAGCAGCTAGAGCTGTAAAAAATATTTTGATAAAGTTGCACTATCAAACCTGAACAAAAGAAAATTCTGGAATGCATAACAGATGCATAGCAGTACCTCCTATGGGCTTCCGTCCAAATGCTGAACCCACTGAAATGAGAGATCTCTCCCGTAACAGTCGTTCAGAATTCCTCGCGTTAACAAATTTCGAGGTTGCCTATTCAGGAAATACATTCCGACTGTCTTTTTCCTGACCTGGTAAGCGAAGCTCTGATTGATCGTCTGAAATGTCGTGATACCTGATGAGATGTCCTCACTTCCTTTTTAAAAGCCGTAGCGAGAACTTAGATCTGATTTTAATGACTTTTTCGGGAACGCCATGAATGAGGTCTTTCGACTAAATTCAATCTTGAGTCAAGCAATGAGCTTATAAACTGATGTACGAAATAACTTAGTATACACATTTGGTGCTTGGGTTAATTTTCAAAAGAAAATATGCCTTTTTATGATTTCCAAGTCACAAACATTAACAGGTTCGGGTTGTTGTCTCAGTGAAACATCTCAGTGTGTATTTAGACAGTTGAAAATGCAGAAACAGGTAATGCTGTCTCTAACTCCTGCCTCCATCCCGGCTAACAATTTCACGTTGTCTCAACGTTATTCTGTGGACTCCCATTTACGTTGTCACAACGCTGACACAACGTTATTCTGTGGACTCCCATTTATGCTGTCACAACGCTGACACAACGTTATTCTGTGACTCCCATTTACGCTCCCACAACGTTGACACAACGTTATTCTGTGACTCCCATTTATGCTGTCACAACGCTGACACAACGTTATTCTGTGGACTCCCATTTACGCTGCCATAACGTTGACAGAACGTTATTCTGTGGACTCCCATTTACGTTGTCACAACGTTGACACAACGTTATTCTGTGGACACCCATTTACGCTGCCACAACGTTGACACAACGTTATTCTGTGGACTCCCATTTATGCTGTCACAACGTTGACAGAACGTTATTCTGTGGACTCCCATTTACGCTGTCACAACGTTGTGACCTGACGCTGCACAGTGACGTGATATTAACGTTGTCAGTAAGAAGGGAAAATACTTCCGTTTATCTGTGGATGGTAATCATCTAATATAACAGGTACAAAATGCACTACAGTCTTATTTTCTTCAGAAATTACGAATAATTCGATGTCACTCTTCAATGTGAGACGTCGCATCAATGTTAACGTTTCAGAAACGATTAAAAATAACGTTGTGAAATAGTCCATACACATCGTTTTGACAAACGTATATGCTGTAACGTTGTGAAATAACGTTATAAAATGATGTAATACTAACGTTGTGTTAAGATGTTACCAATCTACAACCTTCCTGGGACAGTTAGCTGGGACTACGTCACAAATCTTGGCACCATCAGGCAATGTCTTGCAGAGGACACCTGCAGAACCTTGGCCAGACTTGGTTAGTCTGATGCTGTTCAGCCTTGTACAGCCGAACGTTCTAGCAATGTGGCAATATAAGCCCCTATCTGCGACATTCTAATGGTTCGTTCTCGTTCTGCAGCATATAATCTTGGCATTTTGATGAGTGCCTTTAACAAGATTGGTGGGTAGGTTGGTTGGTTGTTTAACGCCGCACTCAGCAATATTCCTGCTATATGGCGGCGGTCTGTAATAATTGAGTCTGGACCAGACAATCCAGTGATCAACAGCATGAGCATCGATGTACGCAGTTGGGATACGATGACATGTGTCAATCAAGTCAGCGAGCCTGACCACCCGATCCCGTTAGTCGCCCCTTACGACAAGCATGGGTTACTGAAGATCAATTGTAACCCGGATTTTTACGAGTCTTATGTTTGTGACTTCATAATCAAAACACTTGTTTGTTTGTTTGTGTGTTTTTGGGGGGTGTTTTTTGTTTTTTGTTGTTGTTTTGTTTTGTTTGTTGTTGTTGTTGTTTTTTTGGGGGGGGTTTTGCTTGTTTCTGTTCTTGTTTTTTGTTCATTTGGCTGTTTTGGTTTTTTTGAAACAATACGCAAACGCGTATAGATAACGTTCATACATTTTAGCCAGAAAAGTGAAACACTATCCTAGCTGTCGGTTTCCTTCTTGAAGTCTTGATGTATATTGAAAATAACATATATGCATTTTACTCCAGGATCTCCGCTGCCGCCAGATCAGATTCCGACCTGAGCCGCCGTGAAAATGTTGCGTTTGGGTTGGGCGGCACTTGTGGTAATTACAACGACTCCTGCAGTTACGCGAAGACCCACTGTTGCGGGGAGTTGACATGCACTCGCGATAGATGGTACCATGTTAGGGGTGTGTGTATGTGAGAATCCACGCTGACAAGATATATCTCTGATCAAATTACCTTCCGACAAATGGTGAAGTGAAATCAAGAAATAAATTGTTTCCACATCGAATCATTGTTGTTCTTACTTGTAGAGACGGACCCCATTCAAAATGTTTTTATTCCAGTTCCTTCATCATTCAATAGTCCCGTGGTACTAAGACAAGTTCCTGAAAGACTGACTGACTGAGTTTAGTTTTACGCCGCTTTTAGCAATATTCCAGCAATATCACGGCGGGGGACACCAGAAATGGGCTTCACACATTGTGCCCATGTGGGAATCGAACCCGGGTCTTCGGCGTAACGAGTTCCTGAGAGAAACGTTACCCATAACGTTTGTCATAAGAGCCGACGAATGTTGATGGGGTGCTTGAACTGTGTTACCCTGTGTGACATCAACCACATGTTTGCCTAACAAAGAATTTATTATTTATTGCAAGTCGGTGTCATAGAGCTACAAAATTGCTGACTGCGGCGTAAAAGACCACTCGCTCACATCGTCATTCGGCGTAGAGACCGTTTGTGGATTTCTACATAGGAGAACGTTTAAATATCCTACTTGTGTGGTGTGTGGCCCTGTGCATAGAGCTCAGGTCCCAAATCAGTTGAAGTTAAGCAACGTTGAGCACGGAGAGTCCTTGGATGGGTGACCGTGTTTGGCAGCTTGACGCCTGAGAGTATCTAAGACTTCAGTCCTGCACCTCAACGATGCACATGTCATGTGGTCTCACCTTAGGCAAGTGAGCTTGTTCAAAATTGCCTTTGTTCACGAAGCAGAAAATGGGTACCCGGTGGGATAAGCCATGTGACTATAACCTTCTAGCGCCTCACAGGCAGCTTGGCTATACGGGGTAATAATATTCAGAATGTTAGCGCCATAAACATTCACCCAGTGAATGGAGTTTAGCGCTTTATAAATAGTATTATTATTATTAGTAGTAATTTATCAACGTGATTCTAAGACGACGACGACGACGACGACGATGATGATGATGGCGGTGTTGATGATGATGATGATGATGGCGGTGGTGATGATGATGATGAGTGATGATGATGATGATGATGATGATGATGATGATGATGATGATGATGATGATGGCGTTGATGATGGCGTTGATGATGACGATGGTGATGATACCATTATAACCATCGTTCACTCTCGACAGGTGGAGTCAGATACTTCTGTGAAACTTTACAAACATCATAGTCACTAGTAATCAGTCTGACTTTTCGCAGAACGACATTTCCTTTTCATAAAAGGTCATGACGATTGCAACACCGTAATAGTCGACAGGAAGTCATTAGAACAATTATGTAGTTAGTTATGGTGATTTGATGCCAGGGCCAAAACCAACTACGATATGAATAACTCATTACCCAGCGTATATTGCTACATGTAAATGGTGAAATATGCAAGTTCCAAAAGGGGCCAATTACGAGGTATTATTTTGTTTGTTTCTGGGTCATCTAGAGCTAGTGTTACAAAGTTTGGTTTACATTAACCGGAGTGTACTTGAATGCACTCAGCTCTACCTTCTAATTTGGTTTAGCGGAATTGGCTCAGTGTACTAATGAAACCTACGGGTGAGAATTGGTCTTCAGCAAACCATGCTTGTCGTTAGAGGCGACTAACGGGATCGGGTGGACAGATTCACTGACTTGGTTGACACATGTCATCGTGTCCCAATTGCGCAGATTGATGCTCATGCTGTTGATCACTGGGTTGTCTGGTCCAGATTCAATTATTTACAGACCGCCGCCATACAGCTGGAATATTGCTGAGTGCGGCGTTAAACAACAAACAAATCAATAACGCTTTTCCAAGCTGTAACTGACATAGAGATCTTACACACAGCAATATACTGAACTAGGTTCAGGATGGGGGAAATTTTAGGGGATATATTTCCGTAAATATTTTGCTGAATCGCTACAAGGAAAAATATCCATGATCCGCTTTTTTCTTCAGTATATAATTGAAGTACGATTTCCTGATTAATTTCTGGGGTCTCCCGCCGTGATATTACTAACAGGGTTTGAAATAGACACTTTAAAAATGAAAACATACTACATATTTAGTGGAAGGCTCAGGGAAAACTGTGTATAAACGGGTTAACTTTTTAAAGCAAGAAGATGTCGATGAACAAAATTGCCGTTTGTAACCCTGAGACACATTATACACTAATACATGAGATGGTAGCTTAAGTGCTGAGAAAGCAGTCCGGTTCGAGTGGTGTAGTGATGTAAGCACTCTGATCGGCCTTAAAGCAATCAGTGAGTGTCACGGTCAGTGTTCGAAATAGTTTCCAAATTTTGCTTGTCGGTCGGGCTGGCTATGCCTGAAAGTTACTTGCCCACAAAATAATTCACTGGCCCAAAATTTGTATGTAGAAATTAAGCAAAAGATTACAGAAAGGTAAAATACCATCATTTATCAGGAAATAATCTTGCATGATTTAAAAGTGTATTATAACTTAACAAGTCAGAGAGAGTGATATATTTAAAACATGACCCCATGAAAATTCACGGGCCAGTGACTGTGGAGATTTACTGGACCAACCGGATTTTTCCTAGCCACGGGCTAGCGGGCCAGTGCCTATTTCGTACACTGGCCATGGCCCTCGTTTAAACTCATATGTACTCAATACGCTCAGTTGATGACGTTTCCGGTTAATTCTTATCAGCATAGAATGTGCTGTAATCCAATAGGTATGATCGAATACTCGACAACATGGTTGTGTCGTATTTATCAAATGTGTTCTTTGCAGGTAGACAAGCGGAGACATTCTGATGAGAAACAAGAATTATGACTGTAAAGAGAATGCGCATATGTGACGTCATTGTGTATGTTTGTTGTTGCAATGCAGTTACTTAATTTCCTCTGTTTTAGTCTCAATGAGTGACTCCTTATTGACCATATGACAAAGGAACTTACCGAGGAGTGTGTAGAGTGAAACCTTGGTTAACTTCAACGCCTCGTGACATTCTGAAACACGTCGACTTACACGTAGTTCGAGACAAACATGTCTTTATCATATCACATCATAGGGATAATCAGTCGCTGCCATAAAATTCTTCACAGACATCTTTAATACAGATCGAGATGAAGGTTTACAAGTTAAATGTACCCCTATCAATTTCAAGTTATTTCATATAATATGTGAACAGCCAAATATGCGACGTAATATGTTTCAGACAGTGAATGTGAATGTTGATTGTAAACTGAATCAAAATGGTGCTTGATACATCGATTGCCATATATGCGTCATTGTTCCTTTTCCAGTGCCCATATTCTAATTACTAACTTTAAAGTCGTATATTTCAGTTGGTATTCACAACAGATGGCGACAAACATATTTGATGTTCTCAAAAGAAGTTAAAAGTACACCTAAATTCTTTGATATTACTATAATAACCTTTCATTGTATAACAGACTACCTATTTTATTATAAAAGTAATATGAAAGTGTTCTTTTACTCCATTTGACTGGCATATGCCGCATGTTCGAAAATGGTCAAGACCTGATTTCAGACCTGATACTTGCTGTAAAAAATAAGACAAATTCTTCTTCAACAATTTTACTTCTTACAGTTCTTGAACAATAAAACGAACAACGACAGAAGCAATGCCGGCACGGGTCTCACATAAGATAAATTCAATAAAATGGAGTCATATAAACACTGACAAGAACTAGTGTCTCTAGAAAGCTGTCGACTTCCGGGTAAATCTACTTCCGGAAGATGCGTGAGTTCTATTTCCGGTTTTTATTACATTCACCAATATCGTAACCGCCCTCATGATGGCACTCATAGCCAGGACAGCATGGAAGCAGCAAGCCACATTCCTTCTTATATGTCCCACAGATGTTCCTCTTGGACACTAGTCGGTCACGTAAAGTACGTGCCCTAAAAGCAGAAAAGAACACATATTTCATACGTGATCTGACCATCGGTCAAAACACAACATGAGTTTCTTCTGAGTTTCGATTTTCGTAAACGAATTAAACATCTTGGGTAATCGCCGTATTAAAGAAATCGATAATCGGTATATTTTTCATGGCATAAAGTTCGTGTGTGGCATTCTTACAAGCTTAAAAAGAACCACCATAAAAGTGACGTGTTTGTATATTTGGTTGTTTGCTTTTGATTGTTTGTTTGTTTGTTTAACTGACAACTCGGCAATATTCCCGCAAAATGGCGGCGGTTTGTAAATATAGTTGAGTGTGGACCAGACATTCCAGTGATCATGAGCATGAGCTCACATCGATCTACACATTTAGGATACGGTGGCATGCTTCAACCAAGTCAACGAGCCCTACCGGCCCATCCCGTTAGTCGTATCAAGCCTGCTTTGCTGCAGGGGCTAACTGGCTTGTACACCACGAGACAAGAACTCGGAAAATTCCACACACCCGTTATTACGACTTTACCATGACGAGTTTACATTTTACAAAATTTTGGATGAAGTATTTATTGAGATAAGATCCCTTTGCATCCGACTCGAACTGGAAGTGTGATGTCATTTGTGACGTAACATCAAACATAATGACGTGATGATTCCCTGACAGACCGACAACAGACGTAACGGTCAATCACAGCGCTCATTTCTCTATTAGTAAGGCTCTCCGAATGCAATGCCTGTGTTTTGCATCTACCCTAAATTTTCATTCCGACGTTAAAGAATAGAAATGTTTTCTCAATTTTCCAAACCGCTGTAGAAATATATTCTCTAATGTTAAAGGGGCGGTGGTGTAGCTTAATGTTTAAAGTGTCCGCTTTTTACGCCGAAGACCCGGGTTCGATTGCCCACATGGGTACAATGTAAAAGCCCAATTATGGTGTCCCCCGCCGTGATATTGCTGGAATATAGCTAAAAGCGGCGTAAAACCATACTCACTCACTCACTCTGATGTGAAGAAAGATTACTGTTACTATTGCACACTCATAAATCATGTAAGCGTGACCTTTCTTCGCGTACATTTATCAAGAAGCCAGGGTGACTCGATCTCAATCATAAATTATTTCAAAGACTGTCAAGTTAACTATATTTCAAAATCTGAATAATTACGGGAGGCCT